AAAAAAAAAAAAAACCAAAGAAAGAAAGAAAAGAAAAAAAAAATTTGACTCTCTTTTCTCTCTCTTTTTTTTTTTCCTTTTTTGAGACAAGGTCTCAGCTGGGCCTCACACTCATTATGTAGCTCAGGCTGGCCTCGAACCCACAGTGATCCTCTTACCTCAACCTCCCAAGTGCTGGGATCACAGGTGTGCACCTCCATGCCCGGCAACCATTGAATTTTAATCAGATATTTTGCCCAAGGAAGGATGAAGGTACAAAAGCCACCTATAATAACTCCACTTTCTACAAGCCCAACTCCTTGCCAGGCACTTTGTACTGATTTAGTAACTTAGCCTAGGTCAGAAAGCGAACCTGTTCACACCCAGAACCCCCTTTATTAGTCAGGAGGCCAAACGACCTCCCTGGCACCAAGACCCTGTGGCCGGCGTGCTCCACAGGCACATGTCCTGACAGTGCGAGAGAGCTGGAGCAGCCAGCACACAGCAGACAACGCCCAGGATAAAAGCCCAAGTCCCCTGCGGCCACTGGGCCATACCCCATGCCCCACACCTGTAATCCTAGCCCTCGGGAGCCTGAGGCAGGAGGATTCCAGTGAATTACCTGGCCAGCCAGGACTACGAAGCAAAACCCTGACAAAAGGAAAAAAAAAAAAAAAGTAATTCATAAAACACCCTCAGGGAAAAACAAAACCAACTAAAAACTCATTAAGGTCTTATTCAAACAAAACTCACAGGGGCTGAGGAGATAGCTCAGTGGAATAAGTGTTTGCCAGACAAGCATAAGGTCTTGGGTTTGATCCCTGATATCACACACACACACACACACACACACACACACACACACACAAAACCCACCCTCAGGAAACATACTTTTCTTTTTTTGGCTGGCTCAGCCCATCCTGAGGATGGGGCTGGCACCTTATGTGGTGCCGGGAATCGAACTGCCGTCCTCTGAGCCTACCTAAGCTTGCCTATGCAGGTGCTTTAGACCACTGAGCTATCTCACCAGCCCACATTTTTTCTTTTCTTTTTTTTTTTTTCAGTACTGGGGATCGAACTCAGGGCCTTGCACTTGACAGGCAAGTGCTTATTCTACTGAGCTATCTCCCCGGCCCCCACTTAAATGTTTTTTTAACCTGATTAAAAGATTTAGGCATAGTGAGTTCAAGGCCTGTCCAAACCACATAGCAAGACTGTCTCACATAAATCCCAGCTCTTGTGAGGCTGTAAAGAGGCAGATCGCAGGGCCAGAGAGATGGCTCAGTGGAATAAGAGCTTGCTTGGCAAGTGCAGGGGCCTGAGTTCAATTCCCCATTCTGCCAAAAAAAAAAAAAACAAACAAAAAAAAACAGATGGATCACTATGAGTCTGATCTAGTAGTGAGAGCCCATAGGCCCTTCTCTAAAAATACAAAAATAAATAAAAAATAAGTAAACAAACAAATGACATAGGCAGGCATGGTGTGGCTCATACCTATGATCCCTACACTCTGGGAGGCTGAGGCAAGAGGGTGGAAAGCTCTAGTCCAGCCTGGGCAACTCAGTGACTTAGCAAAACCTGTCTGAATTTTTTTTTTTTTTTTTTTTTGAGGGGGAGCTGGGTATATAGATCATGATGAAGGCTCTGGTTCAAATCCCATATAAAAGAAAATGAGAA